TCAGTTTGTTTGGAAACATTGTATAAAATATATATTGACATAGCCTCCTGCCAATAACACAAGGAGACACATTCAGGTCACCCTAAGGTAATATTTTAGGAGAAATATGCTGACCTCCCATTTATTTAAACGTAAATAAATAGCTCTTGGGTTTAAAGTGGGTAAGATGGTATATACATGTAGTTTTTATCATTACTGGTATAATCCTTTGATAAAATCTACAGGGGGTACAACACTTTATCCCGGATAAAATCAGAGTTGGTATCAACATTTCTATGATGTTACTTGTGGAAACAAAGGTGTTTTTGTTTGGACCACTAAGAATGTTTAGGAACAAGAGTTGTGGGGTGGGTGTATGGCTGGATGACAACTATCAGGTACAAGGATTAGGATATGTCAATTCTGGAACACGCCAAACTTCAAGGTGTTCCAGTCTGTTCAGGTATCAATACATGGTACTATACTATACAAGTATGCTGCAATTTCTAAACGACCTAGTAAAATATGCACCAGGAAAGGTAATGGTCTGCATTATTTCTTTTCTTGTTGCTTTTAGTAAAAAGATTAAAATTTGGGGTATGTTAAGTAACCTCTTTCTATACGATAAATATCATGAGGCTCTACATGACTGGTCCTTAGCTGACAAATATGCTGAAACTGTAAAGTCATCTGCTGTGACAATACCACTAAGCCACCCATGACACCCCCCTCCTCCTCATCATCCCCTTCCCCCCACCCCTTCCCCATCACATTAACTTATTAGAAGGTTCATTCTTAACTGTAAAATGGCACCATGATAGTCATCTTTTGATCCCTGCAATATTCAGAAAACATGGTGAAGTATATCATGGTTGCCTTGGACAACACTAACAGAAAACTTGAAGGCTGCCCTGGACTATATAATACGACATCATAGTACCTAGGATTGCCTTGGACAACACTAACAGAAAACTTGATGGCTGCCCTGGACAATATAATGGGACATCATTGTACCTAGAATTGCCTTGGACAACACTAACAGAAAACTTGATGGCTGCCCTGGACTATATAATGGGACATCATAGTACCTAGAATTGCCTTGGACAACATCATGAAGCAACATGAAAAAAATCATGGGGAAGCATCAGTGGCATAGACATCCTTATTGATAATATTCACAAGCTGTCTCAGAAAAATATATCACGTAATGTACAATGCATGGTGGCTTGAAGTCACCACTTTACGGGGAACCATATTACATATATAGTTGCCTGGAAACAATTAAAAATATACCTGTATTTACTTTTTATTTTAAACAACATTATGGGGAACCAACTACACATGTACCTGTATTTGCTTTGAACAACATTAAAGGGAACCATTATATAGTTGTCATGGACAACAATGTGATGTGCATATGTAAGTTTCACACAACATTACAGGTAATCACAATTATATTGGATAAATCAATATTTAAAAGATTCAAGTCAATAATGGGCAACTTAACTGTAGACATTTGCCTGAAATATTCTTAAAGCGTTTTTGCTGCAGGGCTCTATTTACATATATGACACAAAAAAGAACATTAGTGAGAGACATTTATAAATACTGTAACCAACAGTGATGATAGAATATTTTCATTTCTGAAGGCTACTGTAGCCATAGTGATGAAGACATCCCTACATTCCTGTAGGGTTAACCTATTACTAATCATACTAACTGATTTATGGAGGTAATTAGCATTGTCACATTATAGTGATAATAAATGTCTAATAGTTGTGGCTCCAGGTCAGGTCAGTTATAGCCAGCCGAGGTCATACCTGTCCAACACCTTGTAGATCCTTGTTACCAATGATTAATTAACATCAGATTTAATCAACTACATCATCCCTTTACTTAACACATAATTGATTGATTTTTAATCAATTTATTATGTTTTTTTAAATAATTATTTTCAACAATTAAAAAAAAAACCATTTTTTATAATAGAGGGAAATTATTTAATTTCATTCTTTTACCGCATTGGACTTTAAATATTGAAAAATAATACACTTCAGTGCATTTATGCATCGAATTTGGAGAAAATATCATCCATAATCTATTTAATAACCAAACTAAAAAAAACATTATTTGATAATGACTTTTATTTCTTAATGAATTAAAAAAAACTACAAACGAACAAAAATTGAAAAAAGAAAAGTCACAAGTAAGTCTTTTGTAAATTATAATATTAAAATAACCTTTAAAAATTATGTCTGCTGCAGTGTTATTCTCTACACCAAGACTTGGTTGATTTCAACAGTTAAAGAAATTTATTACAAACAAGTTTTATTGATCAATTCAAAATGAGGTATACATTGAGTGTTATCTCATAAATAACGACCCAACACTGTAGTCAATTAGAACACAATTTTCTTCCTACTTGCTACACATACACCTGTCAAATAGCAATTTAGTGGAATGATTGTCGTGTGACATTTATTTCACTAAATTACAGGTAAGATAACAATAAGAATGATCTTACCTGGACTTTTTTACGAGTTGGTCTAAACAGCAAAGAAAGCGATTTGAAAACGTCACATAAATCTGCCATTTTAGTGAAGTAATAACAATGTATCCAAGACAGTTTCCTTACGAGGACTGTCCTGCACAAAATGTCAACAAACTGAACTCAAACATCCACACATAATTTGTAATCACAACCTGAGGTATAAGGTGCTACATGTTATTCTGCATGTACCCACAACACCTGATTACCCAATGATGAAACCAGCACACAATCAAGTCCATGCTTCCTCTAGATATAGTGTTGTTTGACCACGTTTTTTCCCTCCTCGTCTGATAGGGTTAGGCATACAGGTAAAGGGTTACCAGTAATCAGGCATGGGATCTGATCCACTAATCTATCCCTGGACCCCAGGTACCGACCAGACCATTTACCTGGAGCATGACACTAACTTACATTTCACAGGAAAAGGAGCAGTCCATTACAGCCCTTGGGGGTGCATGGTCAGGTGATGGATCAATAAACATTAACAGAGATTTAAAGATTAAATATCGAACTTGCACTGTCGTAACAAATTGAGAACCGACTGTTGACCTGCTTGATCTTTAACTAAGAAGTTTGACGTAAAATAGACATGTAGATGTTAAAAGGTATGCGATATTTACTGGCCTCAAGAAAAAACATAACTACTCAGACTGGCATGTAAAAATTTCAATCACAAAATACAGGTAACCAGTGCATGGAAGTATTCATATCGATTTCTATATAAATTAATATTTGTGTGACAACTAATGGACATTCCTGTGCTTAATAAGGCAGATTATCAATAAAGAACCAGATTTTAAAATCAAAACCATTATACTTTCTACAGTAATCCTATTGTTATATCCTGACACATGTAAAGTCAGTCTGGTGTTAAAGCTATCACACACCTGGAATCTGTATAGAAGATAATGCCTAAATACAACCTAACTAGGCTGGATTGTATCCCATCTCAGTATCAATAATGTGTTAAATGTTTATAAGCTTTAAGGACTTGTACAAAAAGGTCTCTAGCTGATTTAGTTCTGTTTACAAACTTATTTGATCTGATTGTAAGACTGGGATTATAGAACGTAAAAGAAAACACCCTTGGCAAGCTTTACAAAGTGGGGAGCTTACTCTCTCTCTCTTCCATGACTATTTATATTGTATTTTCAGTTGAGTGTTTAATTTAAACATATGCAAGCAAATGCCATCATGATCACTTAATGCCTTAAATCAGCAAGACATTTTGTCCAGGATAATCCAGTTCTGGTTCTACACACTGCAAAGGAATTAAAATCCAAGATGGCCTCTTGCGACCAGATCATGAAATCCAAGATGGTTACAGGTAACCTGCAACCGCAGCTTAGTTGCTCAAAAATTAATCAGCAGTTAGTGAAAAATTGAAATTGCTGCCACTGAACAGACAGGAGAGTTAAAGGCAAAATAACACTAAAAATATATCATCTGATCTGCCACAACAAACATACAGAGCTGTGAAATGGTAAAGAAAGTCCTTAGGTTTGTTTAACCAGCGTATGAACAATCGTGAAATTCTGATTCAGTTTACCTCAAACTAGAGAAGCAGTTGCTGTTGAAGCCATAGAGCAATGATTGATACTGTTAGCATGAAAGTTCATATTCGGAAAAAGTGAGGATCAAAGTTTTTTGTGGAAAATGGTGGTTTATAACATTCAAACTTAATTAAATGTATAAATTAATTATTTATTCAATAATTAAATGTGTGTTATCTTCTACAAGAAGGAATGCCAATCATTAATACAACATTTCATCACTCACTTTAATAACAATAATTTGACTGTAACACCTTCTAATTTCTAAAATCCAGCAAATAAACTAGCAATATTAAATATTTCTAAATGTACCTTTCCACATCATAATTTTTCAAAATATTTTTAATCCCTCAGTGAAGTTCTAATGAGTGCACATTTCTTCAGTAATTCAAAATCAATTTAAAGAATCAGATCAATTTGGTTTATCTTCAGGTTCTATTTAATGTTAGATTTGAAGGTGCATTGTTTGGTTCAAATCATACATATTAATTTCCTGTAAAACCTTGTTCTGACCTATGTTTAATATCATTGATGAAAACCTAGGAAAAGCCATACATCGGCACAATCAAAATTTTGACAAAAACTGTTTAATGAAACTTATGTTTCCACAGTTATTTATCCATAGAACATGTTTTATACAATATTTAACATTTAATAAAATTATGTATATGCATATTCATCAGATTAAAAAAAAGAAGCAAAGACAATGTATTCTAAAACACATTGTTGAGATTTTCTTTTTTCTTTTTTTTTTTCTTTAAAGAATTTGATCAGCAAAATTATAAATTGTGTGCAATGGAAATGTTTTTCATGAAATGGAAAAATTATATACCTCCGACCTACCAATCCTTGAGCAAATGGCCATGCTGAATCTAGCAGACAAAGGGAGATTAATCTTAACACAAACTATAACTTACCAGGTCGCCATCAGATTCTGGAGTGGTTGGAGAAAGCTGAGCAGTAGGAGTTGTGTCCCTTGAGCTGTCTGTGGAATATGTTTGGTGGTCATCAGATTTCTGTCTCTTCAGTGTCCCATCTCTTGAAGGAGGCAGGGTAGGTGAACCTGGAACTGAACCACTTTTTGTTGAATCTGTCTTTGGGCTAGTTGTGGAGTTGACCTTGGAACTACCTGACGTGTCAGGCAAAGTGATTGCGTAGTTTTTGAGTAGCCATGATCTTGACCTCATCCTGTCTGGAGGAGGGGGGCTAGGTTTAAGTGTAAGTGTTTGGGGAACCAGACAGGGGATATCCAGCCCTTTTTCATATTGATATGCACAATACTTCTTGTGCATTTGATCTAAAAGAGTTTTTTGTTGGAGGCTTTGCGACCCGAATTTCACATTGCAATTTTCATCAGTAGTAGCGTCATTTTGAAGCATGGACTGCATTATCGGGGCATAGTACTGTTTCCACTTTTTTCGTGACACTCCATCCCATGTTTTAGACATGTCTTTATCCATGAATTTTGATTTTTTGTTTACTTCTGAATATTCAGTGTCGTTGGCATACATCTCCAATTCTTTCCTGGCTATATCACGTTGCTTGTTTCTGCTGCTGGAAGGTTTACGTCTTAACAACACAGGGCTGGTAGCATTAACAACAACTTGCATTTCAGGAGATTCGTCATGAATCATATATCCTAGCTGTGATTTTGGTTGGAAATTTTCGGGAAAGTTGGATGGCTTAGGGACAGGTGACTTGACAGGGGAGATAACTGATAATGAAGTAGCAGGTTCCATTGTTGGTAATTTTGGTTTTGGTGTAAAATGGCTGACATGTTTGGTTTTATCGTGAACTGAAGTTTGGTTGACAGTTGCATGACTTGAGGGAATAACAGGAACATGATTTGAAGAAGAAACTTTTGTCACATGAGTGAATGGTGTGACAGTCACATGATTTATCGACATACCAGTCACATGATTTGTTGGTGTTACGTTATCATCAGCAACATGACTGGCTGGGACACTAGTCACATGACTTTGTGAAATTGTGGTCATGTTTTTCACTGGCATATGCTTAGGAACAGCAGCGATATGATTAGCTGGTAGAGCGCTCACATTACATGCTGGTGCAACTTGTACCTTACTGGAATCAAAGAAGATTTCTGTCGTGGCAGTATTGGACACCTCCTTCTGCTGGAGTCTCTCAAGTCGTTTTGCTCGAGTCTTTGGCCTTTCTAGTGAATCAGTAGTATTGGTGCCTATGCTGATTTGTTGACTCTGTGACAGATTTCCTGCATGCTTAGGACTCGAAGGGTTGCTACCATCATCAAATGACGTCTGCACAGCTGTTGTTGATAGCGTTTGCTTCTGGACTTTGAACACTGGTGTTGGGTCATCTATATCAGTGACTAATAGACCCCCAGGAGAGGAACTTGTAGATCCGTGCAAGTAACTGTCCCTGAACACATAATTCCCTCCTTTGTATGAGGTATTCTGATGGTCATCTACTGCTACAGAACTATTCAACTTCTGTTTTTTTGACGGTGAAAAGTTTGGCAGTGTTTTCGATCGTCTGAGTATTCGGTGTTGATTCAAAGTGAGGCTAATAATTTGCTCTGTACGATCAACCGAAGGAAAGGAAGTTGGGGTGCTACATCTACCGATATCCCCTTCAGTCTGGTCTGAAGAAGAAGTATGAGACGGTGATTGGCTCACTTCTTCGACATGAATTTCATCGTAAATTTTTCTGTCAATATGACTGTCACTCTTACAAAAGTCCCGACCATCTGATGGTATGATGTTGGTGTAATCAGCGAGATGAGAGGTGTCATTCACATTTTTTCCAGAAGCATCAACATCAGGAGAACACAATTCAGGAATACTAGAATCCTCCTCGACAGGCGACAATACGCTGTCCGCAATAAATCCTGGTCGTGTCTTACTGTAGTCTACTAACGCAGTGTTTGGTATTTGTCTAATGTCTTGAATGGTTACGCTATCCTTTACTTCATCTCGGTGTCTTACAACGGGTAAATCTACCGATTCGACTCGGAATTCATCACCAACCGGAATATTCATAAGGGTTTTATCCAACAGAGAATCATCTAAATCCTCATCAGGGTTGTTATTTTCCAGACCTAGTGGACACACGGGGTCCACAGTAGAACACACAGGGTCCAGAGTAGAACACACAGGGTCCAAAGACGAGCTAGTATTCTGCTGACTAAGTGAATATACACGATCTACAGTAGAACTGTTCTGTATATTGAGCGAACACGAAACATCAGTAGTAGGGTCACTAATCTGTTGTTCAGGTAAACATACAGAATCCACAATTGAGTTGCTATTCTGAAGACGAGGTAAACACTCAGAATCCTCTGTGGAATTTCTATTCTCTAGAGCAGACAAGCATACAGAGTCCAGAGTAGAATTGTTATTTTCTGGACCAGAAGAACACATAGAATTTATATTAGAATTGTTATATTCTGGACCAGTAAAACACCCTGAATCTACAATAGAATTGTTATTCTCTAAACAAGGAGAATGCACAGAATCTCCAGTAGAGTTGTTACACTGAAGACTAGGCGAATACACAGGGTCCACAGTAGAATGTTCTACTGATGCTTTACAATCTGGTGGTTTGGAATCATTACCAATAGAATCCTCTATTGCAGTACATGGTTGTGATATCAAACAAACTGATTCTTCAAGAGGTTTCACTATATTTGAAGTTAAATCATTTTTTATTTTAGAAAAGTCACTGAATTCTTCTTTGCTTGTTTCTGTAATACATGAAGTTGACTTTGAGGAAGTTTCTGTTGATTTCTTGTTTGGAATATTTTCATCTATTACAGTAATTTCACTTTCACATTTCTGAGTAAATTTCTCTTCTGAAAGAACATTGACATCTTCAGAGAGATTTTGATCTTCTTGAGAATTTGCAGTTGATTTTTTATTGTGTAAGTCGACTCCAGTTTGACATTCATTTGCACTTTGTGACCTCAGCCGTTCAACACATGGCGACTTTTCATCAAATTCAGAGGTCTCTAAGGAAACTGCATCAGAACTGACATCACTTAGTAATGACACTGAATCTTCCAAGTTACACTTTGCTACAGGCTCAGAATCTTCTTCTAACGATGAAGAATCATTTGAAGCATCATTCCATTCCCCGAGAATGACCTTTAACTTTTCTGAGTCGGTTTTTGTATCCCCATTTTGTTGTTTCCTGTCAGCCTCTGGGACCCGTATTTCCTCGGCAATGGCTGCAGTTAATTCCTGAAAAGAAAAAATAAAGTTTTAATGTAATCCCACTGATACCTTTCCGTATTGTGTAATCTCTTATCATGCTAAACATGATCGCTCTAATGATAGTAAAAAGAAACAAGACCCTGAACCCTTAAAACATTCACAATCTTTTAATTTGATCAGTGAGTTTGAGTGTTACAATCATTTAAAAAAAATCTATAGCAACTAAGCTGAAATATACACACATTGTCTGAAGATTGGTTTCAATTTTTTGGGTACTGTTCAAGATTTTACACTGAAGTTTGGTACATAAACCATTTGAAGAGGTATTACTGCCTAAATCTAGAATCAACATAATTTACTTTTTTTTTACTGTGGGGTTTTGCATAATAAAAGATACAATGATTATAGATAATTTAATTAATAGGTTGAATATTCTGGTGAAAAAATTACCAAGTCAATTTACGATTTCTATGTTATTCAGTGACTAGGCTGGTGTCCAACTATTGTGCATAAAAAGTGTGATCTATTGCATCATTACATGATGATAAAATAACATCACATAAATACTGAATCGTTAAGATTTTAACTCTGTTAAAAATATGTATGTCTTGACCAGCTAAAGTGGTCAGTCCAGCTAACTAGTCTTAACCACACTTTAGCTATAGCTCTCAGTGCAAAGTTAGCCAGTCTTAACCTGACCTATCTAAACTTTTTACCAAATCTATCCAGTCTTAACCAGACACTTGCTTTATATTCCATCCAAGCTAACCAGTCTTAACCAGACCCTAGCTACAGCTCTAACCCAAGCTAATCTGTCTTCATATGACCCTACATGTAACAAAGCTCACATCGGAGTTAACCAGTATTTAACAAGATCCTATTTTAGTTCATAGCCAGGTTAACCAGTCTTTAAACTAGATCCTAGTTATAGCTCCCATCTAAGCTAACCAGTATCGATCAGATCTAAACTATGCTATCATTCAAGCTGAACAATTTGATCCACATTCTATAGTGTCTCACAGTAAGACTAACCTGTCTTTCATGCTAACTAGACTTTACCTATAGTTCTCACTCAGGTTTCATACCAGTCTACTAAATGGGTTCTAAAGTAGACTAGACTGAATACAATTTCACTCCAATTAACCAACACAATCATACTGGCAACCTTGTTAATTACGAGTGCCAATTAGGTCTTAATGCACAGACATACAGAGATTGACAAAAATGTGGACTTTCCAAGGCTAAGTCAGCTGTTTTCAAACACTAAATTCTTGCAAAGTTGCAGGTATAAGTTGCTAGAAAAAATTCTAATGATTTTCTGTAATTAATATCCACATAAATCACATTTTAAGACAATATCAAGTAAATTTTTGTACTTTCCAGAGTAAAACTATTTCCCAATATACATTTCAAACACTAATTATGACTTAGACAGGTTGGTGGCTTTTATGTGCCATGTACAATATGAAACTGATATTGATCTGATCTCATATCAGAATATTCAACCTACAGCAAATCACATAAATGTTTCCTTTACAACGGATTAGTGATTTTAATAACCTGATACTGTCCAAATTGAAAAAAAAAAACTTTTAGAAAGTAATCAGTACATCAAAAGAATCTGAACAGCAAGACTCAGAAATAACAAATGATCGATAACAGAATTATTCCTGTCTAAGTAGCCATTATCATATTATCTAAACAAAAAAACCTCTGTCCTTCCATAGTTCTTTTCTTTCATTTTTACAGGGTTTAACATCCTTGCAACAACCATGATCATAATGAGGATGGATGTTAAGATGATCACCAAGGGTCGAAAACCAAGCACAGAAAGAAAGATCAGACAGTAAAGAAAAGAAAAAATCTGAGTTGCGATGGGACAGATCTATTTTGTCTGTTAGATGTCTTCTCTTTAGAAGTCCATGACAAAAACCCCTAATTCTGTAAGGGCCTTACTTTCAGTCACCTTCTATGATCATGCAGTAGAATACAACAGACAGTTATCTTGGGCTCTCAAAGTCTCCTTTACAGAATACAGAGAATCCAACCCTGACCTGCAGGAGGTGTCCTACAATCATCTGCCTCTTACAACATGAAGTGAGATACAGTTAAGACATTCGTTTCCAGTGATTTCCTGCATGAGTTAATTTCTAAAATTCTTGAAGAGCATACCTAAAGAGATTACTTCCCTTTACCTATATTTTAAAGCACAAGAAACTATTTTCATTACATTTTTTTTCTTTTCATAATCATGAATTTCATTTCAACATATTTCGGGAGTGCTGTTCAATTACACACATATTCATAAAATGTCAAATCTGACTCTGAGATAGCTAGGTAGTCATGTTGGACAAATAGAGCCTCCATTCCAAAGCAAATTATTGTTAAACAATTTCTATAAATTGTCACAGTGACCTAAAGCTTAAGACAACAGAATTGAAGCCTGGAACACCCAGTATGTATGCTTGATCTCTCTGTACATATGATCTGGATCATCTTTGATTGAAATCCCAAAAGAACTGATGTTATAATCAAGTGATGACAGAACAGGATGAGAAAAAAATGAAAACATCAAAACGACAGTGTTATAAAATTTGTACTGATCAGTTCCTATTTATGCTTATGAGGTGTGGAGAAGGTTAAAATAAACTTTTATAGGTCAACTCCAGCATACAATTCAGTGAATTTTCAAATGTGGAACAGCAGTTTGATTTAAATATCAAAATGAAATAAGATATTCCAGAAACTTATCATAAATGGCATATGTTGAATATCTTTATAACAGAATAATGTTTATTTTGTTAAATAGCTTTTCGGCATTACATATACTGATGCAGTATTAAATGCACATTACTGACATTAAATAGACAACTCAATACAATAAATCAGGTGACAGCTGTTCCTGAAATATGTATTGTCTAATGATTTTATAGCATTAATTGAAACATGAAGTTCTCATATACACACATTATATTTGTATGTATATCTAATAATATGCAGAATATCTGGTATTAGACGAGAAGTTCCATGCAGCTGTCAACCAAGTGCACCTTCTGCATATTATGTACAACTGGCAAGTGTCAACCAAGTGCGCCCTCTGTCTGAAAGTGTACATTACCTGGACAACAGCCAAGTGGAACAGATCATATAAATAAATGTTGGAAGTTTAATTGCACATGCAACATATCTATCATCTGATTGTACTTGTAAAATACTAATGTACACTGCATTCTGGAAATGGAATGTATTTTCTTTCAGCACCTTTTCAACTCTAATAGGATTTTGATCAGAATATATCCGCATTTATCATATCACCACATGCACTTAAGGGAATCAAGTCAAATCTATCATGTTTTCTATACGAAGAATCTAGAAGCTTTTAGACTATAACATTACTTGTATGAACTGAGAACAAAAATGAACTGATATCTTGTTGATATGTTCTGTGCATACATAAAAAATACTAGAAAGTATAGACGATATGAAATCATAATTATCTTATCTTCAAATTTCTTTAAAAAAATTTAAGAAATAAATAAAAAACTTTAATGACTCCAGAAGTGTTCTTAATGATTTCTTCAAATTATTTAATACTTAGAAGTTTATTTCTTACAACTATATTAATCAGAATAACTTTGTTTTAAGAAAATTGCATTTTTTTTTAACATCCAATGATATTAGAAACATGCACTTATTGCATATATTCATGATAACACAAAAGCATAAGATCTAAACATTAATATTGAATAAAAAAATGTGTAGGAAATTTAAGGCTCACACTCCGTCAAGTCATTTATACTTCACATGCTTTTACTACTGAATTGTGTTGCTGGGATTCATATTTTTTATCAATCAGTCCTGGATATACTTTCACATGTGTCGTGTATGCGTGTTCATACCTCTTAAAATTAATTCTTTAAATCCGCAACTGATGTGCCGCAAACATAAAAAACCTTGAACACCTGTATAATCATATTTCATGTTATACAATTGTTCTTACTATGATCTTATATATTTGGAGTTGTTATGATGTACTGGTAAAATTCAATTTCACTAACTCACAATAATTCGATATGGATTTTCCCCTTATCTGGTTTTATCCAAACAGGTTTATTTGCTGAAGTTTCTTATAACGATATATAGTGTTAAGTTAAAGAAGAATATTTCACTTTCAATAAAGAGTATCACGATAAAGATTGATCATATGAGAAGAATGTGCCTTCTACACCACTGTTTACATATTCGACACCGTCAGTCAAATAACACTCTGACGTCACATGTACCTTGTGACCGGTCATTTCAATAAATTTCTCACTCAAACATATTTGAACAGTGCCATATCGGTGGTAGTGCTATTTGGACTATGATGTAACAGCTTCAAGGGAAACACAAATTGTGGCCAAAAGCTATTAATGAGCACCAGTCTTGTGCCACAAGTAATTAACTGACTGTATAAACACGACAGACAGGCTACAAATTAACCTATACACAAGAGTACACTAAACACAAAAATGAGGAAATTCTCTCATTGGAAGTATCATAAATGTTAATTAACTGTTCAGACTTGAATACAGAAATTCATAACACCCATCCCCAAACAAAAACAGAGAGAAAAACATTTCCAACACAATTTTGATCAACTGCAATTTGAAAAAGAGTATATCTACTCATCAGTTTCCACACATTATCAACATTCTTCAGGCAGAACTGTTCTATTAAATTCAAAACAATTCCAAAAATGTTTCATGCTTTTAAATGGATCAGCTGCCAGACAAAATAATATCCACATTCAGACTGAGATTCTGTGGCTGTTTAGAACCTGTGTACATACCAGAAAATATGCACATACTGCACAGGAACCACTCCTTCCTATAGTCTCATTCATAGACCAAGAAGGTGCAGTACTTTCCAAGTTGGCTCCAGAATAATTTTCTGCAGATGATCAAACTCACATTTCCTGGTTAAACTATATACAAGACTGTCCCCAGAACTTACAAAACAATTTCGGATTTCTTTTCAAGTAAAAT